AATTTTTTGTATTTTTAGTAGAGACGGGGTTTCACCATGTTGACCAGATGGTCTCGATCTCTTGACCTCGTGATCCACCCGCCTCGGCCTCCCACAGTGCTGGGATTACAGGCTTGAGCCACCGCGCCCGGCCTTTCCCTTTTTTTTTGAGAGAGGATCTTGCTGTGTTACCCAGGCTGGAGTGCAATGGCGTGATCTCAGCTCACTGAAACTCTGCCTCCCAGGTTCAGGCAATTCTCATGTCTCTGCCTCCTGAGTAGATGGAATTACAGGCGTGCACCACCAGCAAGGCTAATTTTTGTATTTTTAGTAGAGATGGGGTTTCACCATGTTGGCCAGGCTGGTCTTGAACTCCTGACCTCAGGTGATACACCTCCTTGGCCTCCCAAAGTGCTGGGATTACAAATGTGAGCCACTGTGCCCAGCCAACATCATCTATAAACCCCTTCTAAGAAGCAGAAATGGGAGAAACCCCATAACCTCCCATACCAGGAAGTAGCAATGTGATTGGTTTTTCTCTCCAGTCAAGATTGCAGCCCCTCCCTGGAGAAAATGAGTTCTGGCAAAAATAACCAGACATCTGAGGAACTCAGTTATCAAAGGACAAACTGAATCACCTATGCTAAATGAAGATTCTCAAAGAAATAAGAATATATTGGTAATGTTTGGGAGACTGAGGCAGGAAGATCGCTTGAGGCCAGGAGTTAAAAGACCAGCCTGGGCAATATAATGAGACTCCATCTCTACAAAAAATCATTTAAAAATTACCTGGGCATGGCTGCGGGCACCTGTGGTTCCAGCTACTCAGGAGGCTGAGATGGGAGGATCGCTGGAGCCCAGGAATTTGAGGCTACAGTGAGCTATGATCGTGCCACTGCACTCCAGCTTGGGCAACAGTGAGACCTGTCTCAAAACAAAACAAAAACAGTCAGGCAAAGAGGCAAAGAAGCAGAAAAACAGAATCCGTAATGAGTAGAAAAATCACAAAGACCCAGAAATGACACAAATGAGATGATGGAATTAGTGATCAGGATGTTCAAACAGCTATTATGAATTTTCCCCATATGTTCAAGAAGAATGGAGAATGAACGAGAGTGAGGGACCCGAAACGACTGTGTTCCATGCTGAGGGTGGCGGAGGCTGGCCTGGATGCTGGATGAGGCTGGATGAGGCTCAACTTGGGGGCCTGGGCTGCTGCATTGGGGCTGGACTGGGGATCACGGAAGAGTGCCAGGCCCGCGTGGGACTCCAGGGCCGTGCTCAAGGGCGTGGTCTTCTGCATTGGGGGCGTGGCTGGTGAGTGGAGACTCTGCTGCGACTCTGGGGGCGTGGCTGATAATGGGTGTGACTATATTCTAGGGGCGTGGCAATTGCCTAGGGCAAGGGTGAGGCGTTTACAGTGGGTGGGCGTGGCTCGGACTCGAGGGGAGTGGCCAGGACGCAGGGGCGTGGCTCGGGCTCGCGGAGGCGTACGAGATCGAGGGCAGCTCCTGGGCAGAACTGTCCGGATCTAACAGTCCCTGGGGAGTCGGAGACCGGTGGCCGATTTGTGGGCTGACTCAAGGCTGCTAAGGAGACACAGGCCGGCCGTGGGGGCAGGTGAAGGGAGTTAGACGTGCGAACCTGGCACGCAGAAGTGGGAGGGCAGAGAGGAAAGGGCAGAGAGGGGGGCGGGGCCTCTGACGCTCGCCTGGTTCCCCCCAGCCGCCGGACCCATAGGCCATGTGGCCCCCGCTGTTGCTGCTGCTGCTGCTGCTCCCTGCTACCCCGGTTCCCACCGCCAAGGCCGCTCCCCTCCTGGATGCGAACACCCAGGAAGGCTTTCAGAACCTGCTCCAAGGTTTCAACTGCCCCATGCTGGGGGGTAGGGACGGGGAAGGGGACTGGGGACGGGGACAGATAGGAAGAGAAGAAATCAGGGACCCAGAGAAAGGAGGAGACGGAGACAGAAAGACAAGGCACTACAGACCCAGCACAGGGACCTGGATAAGGACAGGGGACCAAACGGGGGTGGGAGAGTGAGTGCTTGGGCCCCAAGTGTCAGAGGGTGGCGAACATGGGGTGCGCCTGCTGGGCCCCTTGGCTTCGAGGCCGGCCACACTCGAGGGCACTGGTACCCCGAGGGCACGGCTGCGGGACAGGGACGGCGTCTCCTCTGCCCCCGTGGACCTCGATGTCCCCCCCAGGCACGGCCACAGCACAGAGGACCAGGGGACCGCCTGCCTAGAGAGCGCCACCCTTTCAAGCCAGCACCAGGATTCCCCCCTTTGTCCCCTTCCCCAGGAGTCCAGGCTGGTGGAGACAGAGAGCTGCGGGCAGTCTCATACCTGGCCCCGGGCTCTGCCTGTAGTAATGGAGCTGTGGTGGCTGTGCGACCCCCAAGCCAGGGAGGAAGACCTGCGACTCCGTGAGAGGCGTCCAGGGCTGCAGGCCAAGGCGACAGGCTCCGGGGGACATGGGGCTTCCCCAGTTTACTCCCAAGGAGGTTGGGCATCAATGCATTGGCAGGGGATGGCCCTGTGCCCTCTCTGGTCCCCACCCCCAGCGCCATTTATTAGAAATAATAAAGTTCTTTCTTAGCTAGTGGTGCTGTTTCCTTTTGGGATGGGCCTGTGCCTCATAGATCAGGCTGTCCTGAGTTCCGCACAGCTCCAGGCCTGGCCCCGTTGCCAGGAGGCACCTGCACTGGTTGAGCTCTCTGGGCCCAGTGTTCCTATTCAGGCACTGTCACTGTCTTCTGACAAAGCAACTGTGTCCCCCCAGTCCCTGATGCTGATGTCCCCAGGCTCCTCTGTGCACTCAGTCCGCCCATGTCACCTGAAGCTGCATATGTGTACTCGGTCAATTTCACCTGCAGTCCTATTTGTCCACCGGGTCCCTGGCTGTCACCTGCAGCTCCAGCTGTGCACCTAGTCTGTCACCTACAGTGGGTCTGTCCTCGGTCCCTGACTGTCACCTGCAGCTCTGCCTGTGCATCTGGTCTGTGATTGTCACCTGCAGCTCCATCCATGCACCTGGTCCCTGACCTGTCACCTGCAGCCAGTCTGTGCAACCGGTACTTCAGTGTGACCTGCAGCCCTGTCTGAACACTCAGCCCCTGACTCTGTCATCTCTAGATGCTTCAGCCTGTGGGTGTCCCATTTGCTGGTCCCCAACCTTCCCAATGGTGGGGCATTGGGCTCTTACCCAAGGCCACTGGAGATCTCGGAGGAGCATGCTGGCTTGGGTTCAGCAAGCATGTCTAGTCCTGCTCCCCCACCCAGCATTGCCTGCCACACCGAGCCTCCTGGCCCAGCCTCAGTAACAGCACACACTGGAGCTGCCCTTGTTACTTTCTGTCTCAATGACTTCAAAAATACCAGCCCTGGTGGTTTCATAAAATGTTAAACCCACACCTGTATGACCCAGCCATTCCATGACCTAGGTGCTTACCCAAGAGGCATGAAAGCACACAGCTCACAAACACTTGTCCACGAATGCTCATGGCAGGTTGATTTATAATTGCTGAGTTTCAGAAACAATTGAAATATCAACAGGTGAACGCATAAACACCGTGATGTAGCCTTACGAGGGAATGTTAATCAGCAACATAAAGGAAAGAATTGGCCGGGCGTGGTGGCTCACACCTGTAATCCCAGCACTTTGAGAGGCTGAGGCAGGCAGATCATGAAGTCAGGAGTTCAAGACCAACCTGGCTAATATGGTGAAACCCTGTCTGTACTAAAATTACAAAAATTAGCCAGGCATGGTGGCACATGCCTGTAGTCCTAGCTACTTGGGAGGTGGAGGCAGAAGAATTGCTTGAACCAGGGAGGTGGAGGTTGCAGTGAGCTGAGATCGTGCCACCGCACTCCAGTCTGGGTGACAGAGCGAGGGTCCGTCTCAAAAAAAAAAAAAAAAAAAAAAAGAAATACACCTGCAGCATGAATGGGTCTCAAACATCCTGAGGGGGGAAAAAAAGCCAGTGAAAAAGACTGCATATAATTATATCTTTGATGAAATCCTAGAAAATGCAAAATCTCAGGCCGGGTGCAATGGTTCACACCTGTAATCCCAACACTTTGGAAGGCTGAGGTGGGTGGATTGAGATAACGGATTCAAGACCAGCCTGAACAACATGGTGAAACCCTGTCTCTACTAAAAGTACAAAAAAATTAGCCAGGCATGGTTGTGCATGCCTGTAATCCCAGCTACTCAGGAGGCTGAGGTAGGAAAATCACTTGAACCTGGGAGGCAGAGGTTGCAATGAGCCAAGATCCATTCTGGGCAACAGAGTGAGACTCCGGGAGAAATGCCAGATATAGGTGAAGGGGAGGAAGGCGGCAAATCACGCTGCCAGGTGTGTACCTATGCTACAATCTTGCATGTTCTTCACATGTAACCCAAAACCTAAACTGCAATAAAATTTAAAAAAAATCAAAAATCATAATAATTAATTAATGGGTTATGGTGGTGTGCTCCTGTAATTCCTACTCAAGGGCCCGCAGTGGGAGGACCACTTGAGCCCAGGAGATTGAGGCTGCGGTGAGCCGTGATTGCACCACTGTGCTCCAGCCTGGGCAATAGAGTGAGACCCTGTCTCAAAAAAACTCAAATCTACACTTACAGCAGACCAGAGGTTGCCTGGGGATGGGGGTGGGCGAGGAGCCTCTAGGGTGATATGGTTTGGCTGTGTCTACACCCAAATCTCATCTCGAATTGTAATCACCACGTGTCAGGGGAGGGACCAGGTGGGAGGTGATTGAATAATGGGGGTGGCTTCCCATATGCTGTTCTCGTGATAAGGAGTTCTCACGAGAGCTGATGGTTTTATAAGTGGCGGTTCCTCCTGCCCGCTCTTGCGAAGCAAGTGTCTGCTTCTCCTTCACCTTCTGCTGTGATTGTGCGTTTCCTGTGGCCTCAGCCATGCAGAACCGTGAGTCAACTAAGCTTCCTTCCTTTACAAATTACCCAGTCTTGGGAATTTCTTTATAGCAACGTGAAAACAGACTAATACTGGGGCAATGGATTTGCCCATCTTCCTTGTGGTGACAGTTTCACAGGTGTATGTATCTATGTCAAAACGCATAGAAACCACACACTCAAACGGATACGGTTGACTGTGTGTCCATCAGACCTCAGTAAACTCACAATGCCAGCTCTGTGCTCAGAGCCCTGCCCAGCAGGAACCCTGCAGGATTTTCAGGTCCTCGTGTGTTCCTCCCAGTCCCGTCGGTCTCTGTGAGAAGCTAGGCCAGCTTCCCTCTGCACCATGGAGAAGGGTGAGTGGGTGGAGGCGCCCCCCCATCATTATCCATGCTGCCTTCACACCTGGGAGAACGCTCCCCCTGCACCCCCAGAGCCACGACGCTGAGAGTGGTGTAGGCTTTGCTCCGTTTGTGGCTGAGCCTCACCCTGCATGTGCGGCCTGGCCTCCTGCCTGGCCGTTGTCCCACAGCCCAGTCCCTGAGGAGGGATGCAATTTAGGGGACCCCCCCTTGAGGTCTGGCATCTCCTGGTGTTGTCTGTTTGCTTTGTATGGTTGCTAACTTGCATTCCGTTTTTAGGCCTGATATGAGTTGTTTGAGACCTGGTTGTATCCCATCATCTTTGGCCCAGGCAAAACTTCCCCTCCTGAGTGGCTGATCGTGATGCAGCCCACCTGCTCCTTATCCTGCTGACCCCCCATCCCACCCGCAGCTGCTGACCATGCTGAAACCTAAGGGCCAACATCTGTGTCATGGAAATTAGTTCCCTTCACATGAGCTAATGAGCTTCCTTTCCTTTCTTCCTTTCTTTCCCCCCTCCTCCTCTCCCCCTCCCCCTTTCCTCCCTCCTTCCCCCTCTTCCCCCCCTCTCTCCCTCTTTCCCCTTCCGCCTTCCCCTCCCTCCCCTTTCCCCCTTCTCTCCACTTCTCCCCCAGGCTGGAGTGCAGTGGCACAATCTTGGCTCACTGCAACTCCAATTTCCAAGTTCAAGGAATTCTGCCTCAGCCTCCTGAGCAGCTGGGCGTACAGCTGCCGTCTACCACCCCCAGCTAATTCTTCATTTTAAGTAGAGACGAGGTTTCACCTTGTTGGCCAGGCTGGTCTTGAGCTCCTGACCTCAAGTGATCCACTCGCCTCAGCCTCCCAAAGTGTTCTTTTCTTTTTTCCTTCTCTTCCTTTTCCCCTTTCCTTTTTTCTCTCAACAGAGTCTTACTCTGTCGCCCAGCCTGGAGTGCAGTGGTGCGGTCGTGGTCAGTGCAGCCTTAAACTCCTGTATTCAAGCAATCCTCTTGCATCAGCCCCCTAAGTGGCCTGTGCCACCACCCTTGGCTAATGTTTAAAAAAATTGTTTTTTTAGAGGTGGGGGTCTTGCATGTTACCCAAGCTGTCTCAAACTCCTGGCCTCAAGTGATCTGCCCACCTTGGCCTCCTAAAGTGCTGGGATTGCAGGCATGAGCCACCACACCTGGACCTATTTTCCATTTTATCTGAAACGTCCTGAGCAACAATTTCCAGAAACAGCATTTGACTTTTGTAGCCACAAACCCAAGATGGGCTCTTTTCCGCATACAAGCGTGTGTGCGGATGAAACTGATTGCTTTTCCATAAACCTTCTTACGAGCTCCTGACAGCAGGAACCAGCCGTGTTTCCTGCTGTGTCACACGACGCTTAGCAGAGAGCTTGGCAGAGGCTCAGTTCTCAAAGGCTTTTTCTCCCACCAGGGACAAGCATGCAGATGGCTGTGTCTGTCACACGCTGTGTGGAGAGGCGACTCCCGGACGCTCCAGCCCCCATTTCCACTTCAGTATTGCCTCCAATGGCAATTGTGTGGCACTCCATAAAATGCTAGAGTCTTATTGTTCAAAGGCTGAAAAGCAAAATTTACACCCATGGATAGATGGGTGAGTTGACAGTGATTGAAAATAAGCCGGGCACTGTGGCTCACGCCTGTAATCCCAGCACTTTGGGAGGCCGAAGCAGGTGGATCTCCTGAGGTCAGGAGTTAAAGACCAGCCTGACCGACATGGTGAAACACCATCTCTACTAAAAATAAGAAAATTAGCCGGGCGTGGTGGTACATGCCTGTAATCCCAGGCCCTGGGAGAATCTCTTGAACCTGGGAGGCAAAGGTTGCAGTGAGACATGATCATGTCACTGCACTCCAGCCTGGGTGCCAGAGTGAGACTCCTTCTCAAAATAAAAAATAAAAATAAAAAGGGATGAGCATGGTGGTTTACACCTGTAATCTCAGCACTTTGGGAGGCTGAGGTGGGATGATCGGTTAACTCCAGACATTTGAGACCAGCCTGGGCAACATAGCAAGACCCCATCTTTATAAAAAATAATAAGGCTGGGTGCAGTGGCTCATGCCTGTAATCCCAGCATTTTGAGAGGCCAAGGCAGGCAGATCACTGGAGGTCAGAAGTTTGAGACCAGCCTGAGCAACAGGGCAAAACCCCATCTCTACTAAAAATAGAAAAATTAGCCAGGCATGATGGCACGCACCTGTAGTTCCAGCTACTCAGGAGGCTGAGGCAGAAGAATCACTTGAACCAGGAAAGTAGAGGTTGCAGTGAGCCGAGATTGTGCCATTGCACTCCAGCCTGGGCAACAGA